CCCCGTGATTAATTTTTTCAAAAAAATTCCTATACCGTCCGAATAGTATGTTTAAGTAACCGATGTACACGCTCCCTTTTTTCAATTTTTTCATTAACGGTGTTAATTTTTTTAACAAAAACACCGTTATACCCTCCGAATATATCCCTTTTATTTTTCCATTAACGGTGTTAATTTTTTTTTTTTTTTACAAAAACACCTTTATACCCTATGAATATTAAACATTTATTTACGATAAATTGAATTTATCACTTGTAGAATTCGTATCTGAATTCCCTTGTGACCATGTCAAGCAAGCAACCACCACCCACTCAAAGAGTGTTAGACCTAAGAATATTTAATATATATCAACATTATTATGGATAAATGAAATTAAATTTATAAGATAATGTAAATTATACTAGTTTAGATTATTAAAATATAAACTTATGATAAATTAAAATATATTAAAATACATATACAAAATTAAACAAAAAATATTTAAAATAACTTATTATATTAAATAAAACAAAATAATTAAAATAAATTATAAATAAAAATTAAAAGTTACATTAGAACAATAATAATTATTTTATTTATTTTATATTATTATATTTTTTTTATATTTTATTATTATTTAAATTTATATTACTCCATATTATTTTTCTGCATTATTCATTTTATTTTATCTTAGTTAACAAACTTTATTTATTTTGTTTAACTTAAGACAATGAAATAAAACTAAAATAAATTTTACCAAATAAAATGTAGTAATTAAAATTATTTATTTAAAACTGAAATAATTAACTAAAATATTATAGTTTATTTCATTTTTTTCATGTAAGTGTAAATTATAATAAAATTATTTGATAAATAATATTTTAAGTCCACCACCATTCAACATAAATTCGGTGTTGCCTGTGCATGTACTGCCTTTACCATTTTTCACTTTATGCACTATCTCCACACTAGATTTTGCATAGGCAAAAAACCAAAGGAAAAATTCTAGAAAATATTATTAAAATTAACATAAATAATAAAAATAAATAATGTATGAATGATACACCGAGAGTCTCAGAACAAATAGGAACACTTATAGAAATAATAAAAGAAAACTCTATTAGAAACATTAGAAAAATTAGAAGAGATAAAAGAATCAGTAAAAGAATTACAAGATTTAGTACAAATAGAAAAAATACGGAAAAAAATATTTAAACCAATTCAGATAGAACCCCCAACAAGTTCTAATGGATAATATAGATAGATTAACCCAGTTACTAGAAAAATGTAATATTGAAGAAACAAGAATGGCAAAAATAGATGATGAAGATAAATAAGGAATAATCTATGAAATAGATAGTGAAGATGAAGAGAACTCACATTTAATATGACTGATCAAAAACCCCATACAACACCACCATTATCACCAAAACGACCTAGAACAAATAATAATGAAGCATCTAGTTCTCAAAATAGTTATGTAGAAAGAAGTTCTCGAGATTTTATATACAAAAATGATTATAGTTATCATCAAAAAAAATATATTGAAAAATATACCACCAGCATATTTAGAAAAAAAAATATCTAATAGAATATTAAATATAGATTGTCCAATCAATGCAGAAAATTTAATAGTCACTTGGACAAATCAATTAAAATTATTAGTTCAAAAATAGAATGACATTAACAGATTTTATCAATTATATAAAATATAAAACATTAGGAGTATTACTTGACTATCTAGAAAATACTCGAAATTTATTTAAGCTTGAAGCTATTGGTTCAGAAACATGAGCAAAATATAAGATACCAACTTTAAGAGAATTAACGAAAGACTTATTAAGAGAATTCTTAGGAATTACAGGGCAAGAATCAAAAGAAACACAAAAAGATAAGGTAGTTAGATTTCTAACTAACATGAAGTTATGCAACATATGTTACATGAAAAAAAAAATTCTGTCAAGTAAGAGAAAATTATTATAAAACTCAGGATCGATCAGGATTAATAGAAATAGTTGAAAGTAAATTTATATATGAAATGAATAAATATATTCAGAAGAAAATTAATGAAACAGGAGAATAAAAGACTCTTGGAGTTTTAGAAAAATATGCGAAATAATACAAAGATGAACTTTGTATAAGGAAAATAGAACGCCATGAAATGACTAAAGTCGATTCAAGATGTTGTAGCAGGCTAATACTCCATGAAGACTAGCTAAAGTGCATATTCCTATGGTATGCACGAAACTCAAGAAAGGAAGGGAAAAAATCTTCAACAGAATAAACACACAACATTTCAGGCTAATGAGCTCTACTTATGAAGTAATTAACCAGACCTGAGGCTAAACATGGCAAGACCTGTGACTTTATTATAATTATTTTTTTCTTAGAAAAACATCTGTTTTCTTCCAAAGTAGCTATAGATTGTCTACAGAAAATTTGAGAAGGGAACCAACAGATACGCCCTTAATTTGGAACGGAATGTCAAACGTAATCCGTGTATTTGAATAGGGAAATTGATCGATTCCATATCCTGGTTCTACAAACTTCATGTCTAAGTTTATACACATGCATATAAGTCAAGACCAAATTAACTTCCCAAATTCCCCAACAATAAATAAATGAAAATGGAAAGCTCACTTGCGGAGGGCAGGAAGATGATCCAAGTCGTAGCGCGCAGCCCCGGTGTGCATCATCTCCACGGCGCAGCAGGCCAGCCCAAAAGTCATCGGCCAGATTGAGCTGCGGCGGGCCCAGTTCATGAGGTTATCGACCTTAGAGATCACGTACTCCGCCGCCTTCGGCAAGCCGGCCGAGGAAGAAATTGCCGGAGGACGGGCCGAGGCGTACGGAGTGGGGGCGGAGCCAGAGGACGCCGTGAGAGATGGGAAGGTGATGTGTATGGATGCGAGGTCGGAGCGGTGGTGGTACGGCATGTCTGAGAGAGTATACGGCGGCCGTCGCCATTTCTCCTTTTGTATTTCTAACGGTTTTCTCAATCAATTTGGAGCCTGGCGGATGTTGGGGATTTATTAATGTTTAACTTTATTTGAAGGATTTTAAGTCATTCTGAATGTAACATCTTATTTTTTAATTTAAGACTCCGAAATCATTTGATTTTTTTTAGTATAAATATGTAAATAATAATATTCTTTTAAAATATATTTTTTAAGCACTTATAATGAACTTATTAAATATCTTTAGTAAGATTATCTAATACATATTAAATATTTGTAGTAAAATTATCTAATACGATAATTATTTATAATTTAGATTTATGCAAAAATTTAATGTAATTTATTTTAAAAGTTAAAAAAATAAATTTTAACATAATCTTAATCTAAATAACTTCAAAATATAAACTATTTAGAAAAATAGTTTTTTTTTTTTTAAATAAACTTATAGAAAATATTATTTGCGAATAAATCTACCTACAACAAAATTTTTCGGGTATTAATTTTATATATTCTTAATTTTTTTCAAAAATATGAATTTTATTCACAAATAATATTTTCTACAAGTTTATTTTTTTTTAAAAAAATAATATTTTTCTAATAGTTTATATTTTAATGTTATCATTAAAATTAAGTTAAAATTTATTTTTTTTTACTTTTACAATAAATTTCATTAAGCTTTTGTATAAATATAAATTATGAAAATATTATCTTATTATATAATTTTATTAAAGATATTTAATATTTTTTATTATAAGTACTTAAAAAATAAATCTTAAAAAAATATTGTTTTCATAATTATATCAAAATACAAAGTGAGTTGGAGTCTTAAATTGAAAAGTAGAATGTAAAAGTAGGCCTTATATTGAGATTAACTTAAAATTGAAACCTTCAAATAAAAAATTAAAAATTGAAGCCTTATTGTGTTACAATAACAAAAAGTCAAATACTACAATGATATTTCCCTTTTTTATGCTCAACGTTTTTTTAAAAATTACATTTTTCGTCACCACAGTTTTTAGGATTTGATAAAATTAATAAACATATATATGGCTTGCGCTTTGGCGCACAGATTCGTTTATCTGAACAGCCAACAGCCATTTGGATAGTAAAAAAAATTATTTCATAGCACCACGTTTTTAATATTCATAATTGTGATGTGTTCAAAATTAGTACGTTGCTCGTGCGATACACGGAGAATAATATTACAATTGTATTTGTAAATTAAAAATATAAGGCGTCGAGTTGCAGGGGTCGTCGTGTTCTCTCTTCCACCAGTGGTGTTGGCTGGAGTGGCGATGCGACGGTGCAGGTGGCCTCGGGCAGATTCCAATCGGTTCGGGGTTGGGTGCAGCGGTCGCGACACCTTTTTGTCCGTCCGGGACATTCTGGTGTGGTGGTCGTGGAGTGAGGTGGCTTGGTGCTATTCCGCGGTTAGGGTTTCGGCACCGTTAGGCAACCGAGTGGTTTGGGCAGTTTTGGGGTCGGTTCTTACGGCTGCGGGATTCACAGGTGCTTCATTTCCGCTGGTTAGGTTTGGTGTAGCTTTTCTGGAAGGGCTCGTTTATTTTGTTGCTGTGTTTTGTTTGTTTGGTAGTTTCATATTTCTGCTCTTTTGTTTTGTTTGTTTGTTTCGTTTGGTCTCGTGTTTTTGGTTTGGGTCGTTGGCTGATGATTCTCCTGTTGGGAGCTAGTAGATTCTCCTGTTCGGAGCTTCGTAGTTATTTTTGTAGTTTTAGTTTGTGTTTTGTTTTGGGATTCTAGCGTTGCTAGCGTCGGATTTAGGCGGTCTTCGGACCAGTCCTCCCAGTTTATTCAGCTTTTGGCTGCGGCTCTAAGTTGTAATTTGTACATTTGTGTGTTTTGATCTATAAAATTCTCTGTTGTTTCGGGAAAAAGAAAAAAAAAAGTAACGTTAATTATGATTTATTCATTGTTTTCATAACAGACCGGACCGAAGTCCGATCAGATGGATCGGGAACTAGTTGATTAAATAACGTTAATTATAATTGTTTTTAGAACAGAACGGACCGAACATTCCGACCAGATGGATCGGGAATTGGTTTATTGACCAGAACGGTTCACTTTAATAAAATATTTGCTAGAGAACCGATCAACACAAGGCGGTCGGACGACCGATTGGTAGTATCAGTATGATTTTTTAAATAAATATTGTTATATTTAAAATTATTTTTAATATAAAAAATACATAACTAAATAAAATAGAAATTTATAAATTATTTATCATTTAGTTTAAACATTGAAAAACTTTAGATTGTTCAGATATTTAATTAATATTTTTTAATAAATTTATTATAAAAGGTACTATACATAAATACATATATATATATATATATATATATATTAAAATATCAAAAATTAAATTCTGATTCAACCAATAAATCATTCAATAAATAACTTGATCTGTTTGAAAACGGTACTCTTTTGAGAACTTTGATATTACCGTACATTAATAAAGTTGCAATGCAATATCAGTTTGTTAACATAAATATTAATAAAATAATATATAAGTGTTCATAAATCATTAAACATGTTGTCATAAAAGCATTTTAATATGATTATTTGGAGTATGAACTACATTACATTTATAGTTATAAAGTATTTTTAGTATTAAAAAGATATATAGTTCAATAATCGATTTGGTCTGATCAAACTGACCTATAACTTGGTCACTCGGGATGAAACTCAGTTGTGTCATTGACCCATAATTCAGTCACCGGGAATTAACCTCAGTTCTGTCATGTTTTTGCACTATTTCAAATATCAACTAGTACTGAACATTAACCTTGTTGGCAACCGACTTGGTGAAACCTACTTAATGTATCAACCTGGTCAAAACTGTACTTAAGGATGACAAACCCATATCGAGTTAACTTATGGAAACTCGGCTCAGACCGGACAAACAACCAACTTCCCAAAACACTGAGATTCCTTCTCCGAAACCGACGTGGTGACGAAACCGAACTCAAAGCAGGTGACAAAGCACCTACGCGACGCAGTTACACACCACATATTTCACCATCATTTATGTGGGCCCAACTGCCATAAACCGCCTCAAAAAGTTACTTTGCATTAAATGCGACTGTACAAGCCTCGAAATACGGGTCAAGCTGCGAGCTACTATAAATAGCTAAAACTATTCTTGTACAGAGATCGAATTTTGGACATTCAATACATATGCATACGAAAACAATTCGGCTTATAATCTGAACCGACTTCCTGTATCACAAGAACAACAAAATATAATACAATTTTCCTATGTTTTATGTAGGGCTGCACATTCGGTCGAAACCGAATCGAACCGACCGAATTTTCGGTTAACCAAAAATTCGGTTTGACCAGAATTAATACTGAAAACCGAACCGAAAACTACGGTTCGGTTCAATTGAAAACCGAAATTTTTCGGTTTTATCCGTTCGGTTATCGGTTACCCGATAAAATAGTGAAATAGCAAAAATACCAAAACAAACTAAAATGCATAAAAAAAAAAAAAAGGTAACTTGTCCCAAAACACATGTTTATCAAGTCTTATACATCACATTATGTTCAATAATAATAAAAAGAGTCCTATAGAACATTACAATCTTCGAGTAGCAACCAAAAGTCCAAAATATATAAAAGAAATATTGTAGACTAGTCATTTGACATCTTCAACCTTCATTCCTTTTCCTCTTAGTATAGTTCATGCCAAAAAAAGTTAAAACACATGAATTAAATAGTTCAATAAATAGAGAACAAAATGCAATAAATAATTAATTAAATGCATAAGGTATATATTATATCTTACCTTATTATAATTACTCAAATATCGTACTCCGACAATAGTACTATCCACACCAACATTCGTCGCCAACAAATCTACAAATAAGATAAGACAAGAAAATATCAATAATAAAAATAAACGTAATAGATTATATCATAATCCAACCACCAAGAACAATATCACCCTAATTCCTAGCCCCTCAGCCCCACGCCCCTAGCCCCCAGCCGCCAACCCAGGCCCCCAGCCCCATCAGCCCCCTGCCCACAGCCCAGCCCCACCAGCCCCAATGCTCCCAGGAACAAAAACAACTTCAACAATAATTAAACAATTGTTAGAATATTAAAAATAAATTAAGTTGTACAAAATCACAAAATGAAAATTTAATTTTTTATCACCTTGTTCGATCCTCTCAATAAATTCCAAATTTTCCTCTAAGGGAGATCTTGAACTCGAACCATAAGGACTACGACGAAGCCAATCTTGAGTGCAAATTAATGTTTGAGCCATCTTAGGGGTCATTGAAGCTCGAAAATCATCAATCACTCGACCACCGGTGCTAAATATAGACTCCGAAGCTACGGTAGATAAAGGCATTGCCAAACATCACGAGACAATTTGGATAAAATGAGAAACCGACGACTATTGAATTTCCACCACTCCAATACATCAAAACCTTTCGAAGCCTTTTCCAAGCGTTCATTTAGATATGTATCTAGCTCCGATTCCTCAAGCCCAATCCCAGATATCAACTATTGGATTCACATCTTTTTATCCATTACACTAGACGAAACATTTTCGACATTCGTGAAGGTAGTGAAGTAGGAGTTGATGACACCAAGCTACAATTTTTTTATACTCATAAAAAATTTCATAAAGAGCACTCTTAGCTAAATTCGCTATCTCTTCTCCACGAGCCGGACCATACATACTTTTCAAATAGTAATGTAGGACGCCAAACTTGTGATGGGATAAAGCATAAACCCAACATAGAAAATCATATTAAATTTCTCTACATCAACCCAATATTTGTCAAACTTCTCTTTCATATTATGGATACGTAGGCACCTTAATTGACTATATCATTCGTGCTCGGATATTTATTAAATGTCAATTACGTTTAAGTCCATATTTAAATATAATTACTTAGGAAACCTTTCATCCACCTTCGAAAACCTTGCATAAGTTAATTTCTCAGTATGCTGGTGTTCATTAGCTTCACAATGCAATCCGACTCCAATACACAGTCCCGAGTAATATCGCCATTATTTTTTTTGTAGTGTCATAAAAAACACGTTATTTAATGGAAGGTGTCCTTGTTATCATCTTTGTTGCACAAGATGTTTATACTATCACTACACAATTGTTGTGTGATGATGGTATAAATATATTGTATGACAAAGATGATAACATGGACAAGTTCTATTCAGTAACATACTGTAGGACACTAGCAAAAAAAAAAAAAATGACGGTATTACTCGAGGCTGTGTATTGCAGTCGGATTGTATTATGAGGCTGGTGAAACTCCACATATTGATAAACTAACTATTTTTGGACAAAGGCATCATCTTGTATCAAAGTTTAAAAGTAGTTTCAAATTACAAAGAATAACACGAATGCTGAATCGGTTACACTCGAATAAATGAAAACCTGGACAGGAACGATGAAGCCACTATAACTTTATCAGTGCTGATGTCACTAGGTTTTCGAAGAGGACGATAAGCTTATTTTGCAGGGCAGGAGCCGCTGAAGTCCTATAATATAAGCTTATCGTCCTCTTTGAAAGCGTCTAGTGACATCAACACTGAGAAATTTGAATGGTTTCCTCCTCCGTGTTCAAGTTTCTATTTATTCGCATTATAATCGATTCATCCCTCATGTTATTATTTGTAATTTGATACTAATAAGCAAACCGGAAATAAAAATTGTTGATTCAAGCTCTCTTATACGCGTACAATTGAGCAATAATATTCGAGACATTTTGTAACATAACTACGTAGAATTTGATTCCCAATATGAGGGATACGTAGGCACCTTAATTGACTATATTATTAGATATTTATGAGATGTCAGTTACGTCCAAGTCCATATGTGACGTACAATAAAAGTACAATTTTTTATCACAAATCACTGGAAGTTTGGAACTAATGAATAGGTGGATGAAATTAATGTGAAGTAATGACGACTCGAACATGAGCTTAACATCACGTTATTTTGCAATAATTTTGTCGAACCTGAGTAAGAATTAAGATGATAAGTACGTATATATAAGAGTTCTATTGTTTGTGCTATCGCAGACGAAATTTATAGTTCGAATCATAATACACAATGAAGATTATTGATAAGATATCATTGTCCGAAATGAAGTTGATGTTGAAACATTAATGACCTGTACGACTGTGATGTGATGTCAATAGTCTTTATTATGTATTATGATTTGAAATATAAATTACGTCTGCGATAGCACAAACAATAGAACTTTATATATACGTTCTTATCATCTTAATTCTTACTCAGGTTCGAGTCGTCAACACTTCACATTAATTTCATTCCCCTATTCATTAGTTCTAATGTTCTAATGATTTGTGAACATATTTGTAAGCACAAGTCTAAAAAATAAATGCATAATACTCGAGACGTTTTGTAAAGAACTACGTTGACTTTGATTCCCAATTAAAAATACGTATTGTAATTTTATTTTTAATGTCAAGTATAAATAATATATATAAATACATTAAAAAAAATGAGCATGCATTTAATATAAATATAAATATATACATAAATTTTAAAAAAAAGAACCGCCGGACCGACCCGGACCCGGCCAAAAACCGACTGTTTTCTGACCCGCCGGTACATGGCTGGTTCGTCGAACCGACCCTTCGTTCTGACCGAGCCGGTTCCGGTTCACCCATACCAGGACCCCGCCGGGTCGGGCTGGGCCGGAAACCGGCACCTGGCAATGTTTACCCGTGGGATCCATTAAATACTGACCAATGTTTACCCATAGAGACTACGACTCCCAGATAAATATGTAGAGAGAGCCAGGCCCGATACCATAGAATAAAATCCCTCATTTCAATCTAGGTTTTTTACAACTCTTACCACACTCGGGGACTGCGGACTAAAATCCTTGTTCAGTTGATTAGCACCATGACAGATGAAGTGGCTTACGGGGTCGCAGGAGGCGAATTGAACAAGCGCAAGTATGAGGATTCGCCGTCTCCGGTGGCGCGCAGGGCAACGGGGTTCTCGTCGCCTCCCGACTCCGCCCCGCCGCCGTCTTCTTACAACAGCGTCCCTCCGCCGATGAACGAGATCGAGGCGGCCAAACAGAAGGCGCAGGAGATTGCAGCTAGGCTCTTGAATAACGCGGACCCATCCAAAAGAGCGAGAGTTGAGAACGGAGCTGGCGTTGGTGGCGGATTTGATGCTATCGATGCAGGTTTGGGTTTTATTATTCAGCATACGATGGTTTCTTGCCTGTTTTATTAGCTTTGGCAGTCTGATGTGTTATTATACTTTAAAGCAGTTGAATTGCTATCTATCTGAGCTTCTTATGCGTGATTAGATGTTTATGAGTCACCTGTGGATACCATGTGTTCACTTATATAACTTGAACTTGTTTTGCACAGGAAAGGGGCGTATGAGACTCTCAGTTGTTAAATAGTGATTGTTGAGGCTTAATTTGTTTATAGAATGATGGTTTTTATTTTTCCAGTTTTTAATATATTTATTGGCTTCTTATAGTTGGTTCTTTGTAAGTATATGTTAGATTGTCATCTGTCCCCCATGGTTTAGTTGGTAACTTCTGTCATCTTTTTTGACGTGTTTGTGGTTGTGGCATCTTGATGTGAGATCGGTTGTGATGAAACTGTTTTATTATGTTTATGTGTAGGTAGCGGTCAGAAGCATCCTGGCTTGGGTCTTAGTGGTCCACCTCCAAGCGCATCATTTGGTTACCCAGGCCCCAGCAAGAAAATTGAGATACCAAATGGGAGGGTTGGTGTCATTATTGGAAAAGGTGGGGAAACTATCAAATACCTACAAACTCAGTCAGGCGCTAAGATCCAGGTCACAAGAGACATGGATGCAGACCCTAATGCTGCTACCAGAGCCGTTGAACTCACTGGTACACAGGATCAAATAGACAGGGCAGAGAAATTGATAAATGATATTCTTTCAGAGGTCTGCAAATAATTAGTCTTTTGAGTACTCAAAGCTTATTTTCAGATGTTTATGACAAATCTTTTATGTTTAGAATACATGCCTTAATATCCGTTCGTTGTGATAGTAGTAAGATTTTCTGTTCAGCACTCTGGTGATGGAAGCTTGTAAAAAAAAAAAAAAAAAAGAAAAAACTATATAATGGGATGCATCTTATCATTTATAACCTTCTGTTATGCTGACAGTTGCTTGTTAATTGGATAGGCTGATACAGGTGGTTCTGGCATTGTATCTAGGAGGGTGGGTGGGCAAGGAGCTGGAGCTGATCAGTTTGTTCTGAAGGTCCCCAACAATAAGGTACTTGAGAAGTGGTTGTTGTATCTAATCGTTCTCCTTCTATAGAATTTTTGGTACTATGAGTAGCTATTTTCAGGTTGGACTTGTTATTGGTAAAGGAGGTGAAACTATTAAAAATATGCAAGCAAGGACTGGTGCTCGCATTCAGGTGCACTTTCTATACCTATAGTATGAGTTCATACATATATATTAAGTGCATTGATATTCTTGGTTTTCTACATAGCTCTCATTTTACGCTTCAGTTTCATGAGTGAAGTTCTTTGCCAAATATTATAGGTTATACCTTTGCACTTGCCACCTGGTGATATGTCAAAAGAAAGAACAGTGCAGATTGATGGAACTAAAGAACAGATTGAAGCTGCAAGGCAGTTGGTCGAAGAAGTTATCAGTGAGGTTTGTTCAATAGTTGTTGCCTTCTTGTTTGTATGGTTTGATATGCTATATAAAAAACATTTATATACTCCAATGTGGAATAGGTGTTTTAGTTCTTCATTTGTCTTTCTTCAAGTTCTGCTCTCATTTAAAAAAAACTACTGTTAAAACATTTCAACTTGTGCAGCTTTAACTAATACTCTTTATCTCAATTGTTGGGTACATGTCAATATTTGGAATGCTCTGTGTCAGTTTGTATGCCGTAACTATTTTAAGTTGTGTCTTTTCTTGAAGTTGATTAGGCCATTCTCTATGAATCATGTTTTCTGCATCAGCCAATAGTCTGGTGATAATTCCCTCTAAAAAATATGAACTCTGTATCCGCGTTCCCTATATGCCATTTGTGAACAATAGATGTGCAGATCTATGTACCTAGTCAAAATGATCCCAGATGGCAGAGTTCAGCCTATGCTGCCTTTATGCATGGAATGGGTAACTACTTGGTATCTGATTTGGCCATATTCTTACTTTCTGTTGCAGATTGAGGCCTCATTTACTGGTTATCTTTCCGGTGTTGTATAGAAACTCGATATTCTTTGGGTTTATTAGTACTTGATATCTTGCCCACAAAATCATGGTTTATTAGCATTTAACTGCCCATATCATCTTGTTAATTGCAAGAGCAATTATTAGTCTTTAAGATGTTGCCCACCCCTTCTTTGGTATACTGGATATTTGGTTTCCTTTGAGGCAGGTTTTCATGGATTCTCTCCATTGATGAGGTGATTAAGCAGCATATGAAGTTTTTCATACAATTGAGTATTTATCTTAAATTATTAATACACCTTAGTTCAATAAATAACTGATTGTTTATTGAGATTATCACCTCTGATATGGCTATGATGGGTCAATTTGTATCTGGTGACTGATGGTCTCGTGGGGACTGATGTAGGGGTTAAAAGATGTTGGAGACTTGGTGACACCAACATGTGCTTGTTTCATGTTGGTGTTTCCTCGGCACCACTCTGGTATGATTTTAACTCTTTATTTGTATTGGCCCATGTTACATCATAGAGGATTCCACAACAATAGAAGCCGAGCTTCGATGGAGGGAATAGAAGAATATGTTATAGCCTCTGTGATGATTTGTTTCTAACCACTAAGATAATCTGCTTGCATCGTTAATGCTTTATATTAACTTGGTGCATTGAACATATTGAGTTTTCCTCCTCCGTATGATGTTGCATATAAGATTCTGCCAGTAGACCGATAACCTGGTACTATTGCCATAGATGAATAGTGTGTTTCTATTTTTCTTTTTGTATACCGATCCACCTTCCGAGTAGGGAGATGATGAGCATCTGCAGGAGTATGCAATAACGCGATCTCACCATTACGGTAAGTAGGCGTTAATCTCTGTCTTCATGCAACTATGCTTTGCGTATTGTGTTTTGGCATATGAGGATTATTTAACTGTGTTGTTTCTCCACTGATTGAATATTTCTCTCTGGCCTTCTCTTTTCTTTAGATTATTGTGTTTGCTCCATGCACATTATCACTGTAAGTGTCGAATTAATCACTTGTAGATGTTCATTTCTGAAAAAATAATTTTGCACAGAACCGCATGAGAAACCAATCAATGGGTGGAGGGTATAATTCTCAGCAAGACTACCAAGCGCGGCCTCCGAGCAACTGGAGCCAGCCGGGCCCACCCATGCAGCAACCTGGCTACGGTTATGTCCAGCCTGGCCCATACCCCGGCCCTGAGCAGTACAACATGAACAACCCAAATTACACTAGTTACCCGCCCACGTCTGGCGGGTACACTGCTGGCTGGGATCCATCTCAAAACCAGCAAACTGCCCAGGGAGGTTCTAACTATGATTACTACAGCCAGCAACAGCAAACCCATGGTGGCCCGGCCGATGGTTCTGGTTATAATTATGGGCAGGGACAGGGACAGGGACAGGGCTATGGCCAGGATGGCTATGGCGGTTACCACACGGGCACAGCTCAGTCTGGCTATGGACAGCCAGCGGCTAATCCTAGTGCCGGATATGAACAGCAGAAGCCGGGAGGCTATAACGCGACTTATGGCAACCCACCAGCCGACGGAAACACCCAGACTGACACCAGCCAACCACCAGCCCAGCCCAGCCCGAATCCAAACTATCCCTCCGGTTATGGGGCATCTTCACAGAGCGGGTACGGAACTCAAATGCCGTCTGGTTATGGAAGCTACGGTGGGCCACAGGCTCAGAAGCCAGGTGGGGGTCAGCCTAGTTATGGGCAGTTGCCTGGAAGTCAAGGTGGCAGCTATGCTCCATCTGGATATCCTCCTCCTCAGCACCCTCCGCCAGCCCAAACAGGCTATGCTCAGATGGATGCAGGTGCACAAAGGCCCCCAACATCGGGCTATCCACAGTCTCAGGTAGGGTATGGGGGCCCGTCTTATGGGGGTCAACCTGGATACGGGCAGCAGCCGTATGGTGGAGGGTATTCTCAGCAGGCTCCCCCGGCTTATTCCACCGATGCATCTGCGGGGGCTCAACCAGCCCAGCCTGCTGCTGGGTCTGCCAAAACCTCACCACCTAGTTGAAAAGGGATTGGAATTGGGTTTGGGGTTATTTGGTATTTTGTTTGTCTTTGGTTGCAGGACTGTTAGATTTGTTTGTGTTTTTGGGTAATTTTTAGGTGCTCTAGTTTTGAGACATTTGGATGCGCTTGTATTTGTGTTTTCCCGAGACTTCCGTTCTTTACTTTGTTTTGGATATTGAATTTGCTGGTATTGAGAAACTAATTTGTTGCTGGATATGTTGGCATATCTATATGGTGTTAAGAGTGCGGTTCTATTTTTTTTTTTTTTCGAAACAAGAGAACATCTCATATGATTATAAACAAATGTTTTACAAATGTAGGGTCAACTAACCCAAATCACCCAGAACAAACACATTGAGGAATAAAACCGGTGGTTTAAGATAGAAATGCACTAAAAAAAAAAAATTAGCGTAGTATTTTTGTCTAATAGTAAAATATATACAGTGAGGAGAGTAATTTTTTATTTTCTCGATGACCAAACACATGTCACAGTTCAAGGTTGAATACATTGATGGAGTATTTTAGTTTGAATACATTGATGGAGTATTTTAGTGTAGGAAGAATATAAACTGGAATCAGAAGTCAGAAATTTCAGTTGAGTTTTTTGCATGGGAACAAAAGCTGGAATTGGAAGAATGTTCTGTACATTGTCAAGAAATGCCTGTCAAGGGAACCGTCACTAGCCTCACGTTCGAAACACACGAAATAATGTGTAGAAAATACTGTGACATCTAATATTAGAAATACAAGAAGAGATAAGGTTCAGAATGCCTATGATGGAAACTGTCAGGCGTCTCGTGTTTGAAACACAAAAGATAAATCAATGGCCAAATACAAGAACAACATTAACGGCAAACTTGGCACAACATAGCTTCTTGTGATGTATAACCTATATTTGCGTAGACAGCAAGCCCTGCTCTAGTTCTAACAAAATCAGGATACTATTCCACACATTCTCTAAGCAGGCAGTGTTGAAACTTGGAAGTGTATTAGGCCCATACTTCTTTCTATGAGCCAATACTGCAATATTTTTCCTATATTATCTCTTTCTAGAAACAAAAGATGTATCCCTGCCAGACAACTACAACACGTAATTCCTGAAAGCTGATATTACTTTTGGTGATAGCAACAGAATGAAAGCTACGACAGAACCAAACAACATTTTGATAGCGTATTTAAAGAGATCATTCTTGGCCTCATCTGATGTGGAGCTTGAGGTGGTTGATATTGCCTCGGCCGAAGGGAGTGCTTCAATAATTGCATCCGCAAGGTCTGAGATGAAGGAAGATGTGCAGTTTAGAGCGGGAACACGACCCCAATTAACAATACCAGATTTAAGGGCCAATTCTCTGTACTCCATGTCGATTTCTTCAAGGGTTTCTATGTGCTCACTCACAAAACTGCAAATTTAAACAATAACAATTGTATCGCACATCATATCTCCAAAAATATGATTCTGTCCGTCCCACCAAGTGATGGATTCAAGAATCTCTACTGTAGTAAAATTGTTTTATTCAAATGATTTTTACATGAAAAAATGGTATTGCTTAATTAAGTTGTACTGGGCTCTAGAGGCAATGAAGCATATCCTCCTACATTTGAGGTTGCCATTTCTACCCTTTTACATTGTCCTATTCTTTTCTTGTGTAGTATTCAGAAAATTACTGGGTAATTAACTCTTAAATAATTCCACGGAAATTGACTTTGTAAGCAATTGAAAGAGGAAGTTCAAAACTTCTTCACCAACATGAAAAATAGTCCTAGTTCCATGCATCTAGAGCAAACTAGAATGCATGGTATAGTTTATCATGTGAAATGAGAAAGGCACACAGAGATAATTTAGATGCATACCTCACTGGAACAGCCAGAAGAGACTTTACACCTTGCTGACCAAGCTCGACAAGCACTTCATCGGTATATGGTTTCAACCACTGCACAGGACCCACACGGCTCTGGTACACCATAAGAGAAAATTAAGAGAAGCAATACCAAAAAAGACTAATGTACTCAAACCTACTCGTATAGTCTGCAAAAGTTATGCTATAAAGGGCGGTTACCCCTATAAAGGATCTTAAACCGGTTCTGGGTAGGCGAGTTAAAATTAATTGTTCGCACCATGCATTAAAAACTTAGAATCTCAATAAAAACCCAAAATTGATTACAGAAACGAACCTGGTAAGCCAATGTATGATTATTCATTATTCCTCTAGATTTAAGTTCTTGCATTATTAGCAAAATACAGTCTTCCATCTGATCCCTGTACGGATCACCTGCATCCTCAACATAGCTGACAGGAACTCCGTGTGCACTGAAGAATATCATAACCTTCATCACAGAACAATAAGATATTATTACCTCTTATGGTGATGGCGTGTACACCATTAGCATTTATAAAGCTTCCAGGACAATTTATTTTAGCATTACCCACCTCTTCTGGGTCTGGAAAAATCTCCAATTCCTTTTCAATTAAATCGCCCATAGACTTAATATAACCTTCCCGTTGATACCATGACTGAATGATGGCAACAGGCAGCCTCGACAGATGAGAGTCATTCCTGATTAAAGTACAAAAATACCATTTAACAAGAAATAAAAAAAGCTGATACAATCATTAAGATTTGTCAATGTAATACCTAAACATGTCACGAAGAACACGGATGCTTGATCCTGTTGTCGAAATAGAATACTGTGGATAGAGTGGCAATACCACGAGCTTTGTAATCCTGTCTCTTTTTATCTATGAAAGAAAGATGTCAAACGAGATTATCGTTTCACTTCAGCAAGTACATGATGAAGCCGGAAATTCTCCAGAAAGGTTGAAGTACTGATACAGGCTTGAAAATAATCAGAAAATGAAAAAATTAAGAGGACGTACAAATGATACATTGTCCAAAGTCAACTAGCAATCCGTAGACAGAAATTACAGAACGAATGTCATCTTAAAATGGGTGCTATTCAGTAATTCCACAAAACCATTTAATTCGTATAACTTGCCTGATGGACAGCTTCCTCAGTGAATGGATGCCAGTACCGCATGGCCACATAGACATTTGCAGAAACTTCTTTAGCTTCTAGTGCCAATTTTAATTCATTCCCCTAGAAAAAATACGAATGAAATGTTTTACAGCCAAACAGCTGTCTCAATCTTGATAATATCTAAAACTAATAAAATGAGACTCAGCCCTGAAACCTGCTCATCCGTTATTTTACGCAACGGCGAACCACCTCCAATGGCAGCATAACCTTCTTTACTTTTAGGAGCTCGCAAAACTGAAATTAATTGCGCAAGAGGACGTTGAAGAAATCGGAACAACCTTGGAAGGCGAATGATATCCTGTGACAAGGGAAATTAAAAAGAATAAATATGAAAACAAACAATCTTATTCGTAAGCTACACATGATATCACCATAAAACATACAGGATCGGCAAACAAATTGAACAAGAAAGGCTGAACATCTTGCAGGGACTCGGGCCCTCCAAGATTCAAAAGCATCACTCCTATTTTTTCGTCTGTTGAATGAGCATGGGATCCAATTGTGTCGCCTGGAAATGTGCACACCCCAGCCGAACAAAACGTTCTTCCAGCTGTGCCTTTTTTCTGCACAGGAAGTCTCAGTGACAGTTCAGCCATACTTTTCAAGCCACTCCAATTAGGAGATGTGTTGAAGAGAGATGATATGACTTTAGTCTTGGGCCGCAGCCTGCAGATGCACAAATTTACGTAAATTGTTTTAAGCCCTTTTCATATCAACATCGTTTTTACTTCTCACAAAAATCACCCAACCACAACAGTTCATTTTACAGAAACACTAAGATCAAGTTACCCTCATCAATCAAAGAGGAAATTCTCAATACATAGAGCGCCATTAACAGAAACAAAAATGAACACAATCATACCACAAGTACGTACCATAAGAATGAAAAACCTAAATCATGAAATGGCTTACGGTTCAGAATTGTGCATTTGGGGCATAATCCTAGAGCTTGTTGCAGCCTCCATGGCTCTGGAGTTCTCAACAAATCCTCCTCAAACAATAATATAATCAAATATGTCTGATTAAACGAAATGCATTCAAATTGTTGTTGCAGAGGTTCTTATATTCAGCGTGTTGAGATCAGTAAGTGACAAATCTGTATTAGGAATGAAATAAAGAATTTGGTGAAAAAATTGATGGAACTAACTGTGTTTGCCTTTCAGCAGAGTTGGTTCTAATTACCAAACACACTAACCTAAAACCGACTAAAAGTCGATCACGGACCTTTTTTATTATAAATTATAAAATAATATAAATAGTAAAGTGAACGTTTCAATGTTTTTGGTGAAGTTTAGTAATGAATTAATTAATATATATATATATATATATATATATATATATAAAAGTTTGACATTTACATGAGAAAATAACTAATTTTCCACATAAATAATTCAATTTTACTTTTTGTAGTAAATAATTTAGAAATGTCTGTCATTTTTTGAAATTCAAAATGAAATTTATTATATTCAATAGCGACCATTTTGGAAATAATGGGTCAATCGTTGCGGCGATTGTATGGAAATATTGCTGAGATTGTAGGAAATATAAACAAATATATTTCCTTTTATATAAATTTATACAAACAAATACGAATAAAATTGAAATAACCTTTTCATCGTGAAAAATGATTTCCTCGTAATTCTTCCACGCAACTTCAAATTTGTGTGAAATAATTCTAATCACATGGAGCTTCATTGGTAATTTTTTGTTCAAGTAACATCTTCGATCATACCAAATTCTTAAGGATTTATTTTCAATTAATTTGTGTACTAAATAGCAAAAATCGAGAAAATGATGAGTAAACAACATTCAATTAACAATGAATTTATAGGAGATGACCAATGTATATTGAGTTTAATTCATAAATAAGTGATATGAAAATATCTTAAGAAATGCAATAATTATAAATTGATTCAATAGAATATTATATAATTTAAATAGTGATTCAATAGAATGTATATTTTCATGACTTGGTTGCAATATTATATGATTTGATTATGATTTTGTAGATATTTAGTATATGTATTATATAATAACTCGATTTTCACGATTTGGTTGCAATATAATATGATTTCATTAGGATTGTTGCAGATTTGGTTGCACAATGACAAAGGAAATTGGGAAGATATTTGAATATTTTTTATTGATTATTTACTGATTATTTGACGCTAATTAAAATGGCTCAATATTTGGCGAGAATTGTCAGCAATATTATTGATTATATACTGATTATCGGACGCTAATTAAAATGGCTTAACATTCGGCGAGAATTGTCAGCAATACTTCCATACAATGGCCGCAATGTTTGACCCAATATTTGGTTGAAATTAAATTTATATTACTCTTTGCAATTAAATAATTCATGTAGTTATGCTTAATTATTTTTTTATTACAGGGGATTACGTATCACTGTCATCCTACGAGATGTTCATATGAAGAAATGGATCAACAAAATCAAGGAAGGAGATGTTTATTGAATTAACAAATACCCAGTGGAGAACAACTTTGGTTCATTTCGACTTGCAGTTGGTGAATTCAAAATTGTTATCAACAGTACGACAAGTTTTGTTAGGTTCAAAGGTGACTTCCCAAATTTGCGATTTGATTTTAAAAGCTTTGGTACTCTCCGTTTCGGGGCCCGTCGAGATCAAACTGTGCTCTTTGGTAAACTCTAATTCTATTAATTATTATTTACATTTTTTATATGTATAGTTACATATATCAAATTAAATAATTAATAATTTCATCATTTTTTGATAGATGTAATTGGCCTCGTGGTTAAAATTGGAGCGGTTCAAATGAATGAGATCGATGGCTTTCCCACAAAAATGATTGTGTTTTCTCTTATGGATCTGGAGTAAGATTTTTTTTTTTATTTAACTATGTTGGATTTTGTGAAAATCAACAACACCATTTATTTAAATAATTGTTTATGAGGAACACTATCGATGACACAATTTGCGGACATTACGTCGATCGACTTTTAGATATTGACAAGGAGTATGGCAATGATCATTAATCGCTTATGCTAATTATGCATCTCTGCCGAACTAAGCCTTGGTCAGGTATTTATTTAAACTAGTGTGTGACCTGTGTGATGCACGGAAAAACAATATTACGATTGTGTTATAAATTAAATATATAAATAAATTAATCAAGATTTACCTATTGTTTTTAAATTAAACCGTGTTGGACACAGTCCGACCGAATGGACCGAGAACCAGTTTAGAACCAGTCTAGTTCGCTTGAATAAACTATTTTCTATTGAATTCGCCAACACAATCGGTTGAATTAGTAGGATCGATACAATTTTCTAAATAAATATGGCTACATTTAAAATTATTTTATATAATATAAAGATTTATAAATTGTTCATCAATTAGTTAAACATTTGAATTTTTTAATTATTTATATATTTAAGTAACACATTTTATTTGGGTTATAAAAAACATAGTTTTTAAACCCGACCCGATAATCGACCTAGGCAGGCCTCCGGGTCACCAGATCAACCGT